ATATATATATATACACACACATATGTATATATCTTCTTTGGTGTGATATCTGCTCATGTTTTTGACTATTTTTTAATCAGCATTTTCATTTTCTTATTGTTGAGTTTTAAAAGGTCTTTATATGTATAGTATATGTATAGTATCTTTATATGTATGTATATGTATAGTATCTTTCGATACTAGTCCTTTATCAGATATGTCTTTTGTGAATATTGCTTCCAGTTTGTGTCTTATCTTCTTATTTTCTTGACATTTTCTTTATTTTTTATATAAATTAGAAGCACCTTTTTTATTTTAGAAATTTTAGGTAATATAGAAAATTTAGAAGTGAAAATTAGTTCTTAAAATGTGCTTCATGGTAACTGGCCCAGTATTTGGTTTGTGACTAATGAAATTTCAGTCCTTTTAAATTTCAGCTTTGTTGAGATACAATTTGCAAATGAAAATGATATATAGCTAAGGTATACAATATGATAACTTCATGTATATAAAGATTGTGAAATGATTACCATAATCAAGGTAATGACATTTCTGTTATCTCACACAGTTATCTTTTTTTAATGGTGAGAACATGTAAGATCTACTCTCTTAGCAAATTTCAAATCTAATACATTATTATTAACTATAGTCACCATGCTAGCTTACTAGATCTCCATAACTTATTTATTTTATAACTCAAACTTTGTACTCTTGAATTAGTGTCCCCCGACCCTTAGCGCCTGCCTGCCAACCAGTCTATGCTCTGCTTCTATGAGTGTGACTTTTTAGGTCCACCTATACATGATAAATACATGTAGTATTTGTCTTTCTGTGTTTGGCTTATTGTACTTAGCATAATTTCCTTCAGATTCATCCATGGTGTCACAAGTGGCAGGATTTCCTTTTTTATGTCTGAATAATATTCCACTGTACATAGTCAGCCCTTCCATTTCTGTGGACTCTGTATCCATGAATTCAACCAACCTTGGATTGAAAATATTTGAGAAAAAAAGGATGGTTGTATCTGTACTGAACACGTGTAGCCTTTTTTTTCTTGTCATTATTCCCTAAAGAGCACAGTAGAACAACTATTTACATGGCATTCACATTATATTACTATAAGTAATCTAGAGATGATTTACAGCATATGAGATGTATATAGGTTATGTGAAAATACACATTATTTATATAAGGAACTTGAACATCTGTGTATTTTGGTATCCACAGGTGGCCCTGGACCCAGTCTCCCATGGATACATGGGATGACCATATCTGCCACATTGTCTCTATCCATTCATCCATTGATGGGCACTTTGCTTTTTTACTCATCTTGGCTATTGTAAATAATGTTGCAATTAACATGAGGGTGCAGTTACCTATTTGCAGTAGTGATTCCATTTCCCTGGATTATACACCTAGTGGTGGGATTACTGGATTATATGGTAATGCCATTATTAATTGTTTTAGGGACTACCATACTGTTTTTCAAAATGGCTGTACCAGTTTACATTCTTACCTCCAAATGAGGTATTATTATGGTTATAGAAAGGGTAATATTTTCTCTTGTATTATTTTGTAAACTTATTTTGAATTAGGATATCTACACATTATTACGCTACTATTATTTGGGGGCCTTTTGTGTATAATAAACATCAACACTGGCTTGTTTGTATTCACAACATGGAAGTTTTAAGACAGGTCTGGTAGAACACAACTATAGCCGAGGATGAAGAGGAGAAATGGAGTGGGAAGGCAGGGGAGGGGGGAGGTTTGATAGAGGGAGGGTAAACGGCGGGACCATACCTATGGAGCATTTTGCAAGGATACAACTCAAATCTGTCACGTGTAGAACATGAATGTCTTAACACAATAATCCAGTAAATGAGGCGAAAGCTATGTTGATTGGTTTGATGTAAGCACGTCAGATTGTATAAAAAAAGCAACACATTGTACCCCACATATGCATAAATGCATTCATGATCTATGTGTATATGACTTAATAAAAAAAAATAAGGCAGGTCTGGCAGTCACATGGGTTTAATTATAGATACCCAAGCAAATCACACACACAATTAGACAACACAATGCCTTTATTGAGAAGTTTATTCTGTGGATTTTGATATAACATATATCAATTTTCCTGAAACTATCTACAGTAAAACCATCATATGATTAAATGTCCTAATCAAAATTGTGAATGCTATATAGTGTACCTGTTTCCAGCTATTTAAAAGCTGACTCTCATCATTTTCAGATCTCAGCAAAAGAACTCCTGTTTGGTCATTCAGCTTCCGTAACATGTCTGGCAAGAGCAAGGGACTTCTCTAAACAACCCTATGTTGTTAGCGCCACTGAAAATGGGTAGGTAAAATGTGTGGAACTTCTTCCCCGTCTCCCTTCTCTCTTTTTAAAAGCTGTGATGGGGTGCAGTTTTAAAGCTGAATGAGACATGAACATGGTTCATTTACATCTAGAAAAATTTAGATCGTGAAGTTATTATTTTTTGTGTGATGGTCCCACTAAGTGTAATCAGTATTATAACTCCCACTTGATACTCTTTCTGCTTGATTGGAACCAAGAGAAGGATCCCAGTATGTATACCAGTGTCACCCTTATTGGGTTAAGGGGAGTGATAAATGTCTAGTCTTGCAGAATTAGAAATGGAAAAATCTGGGTGCTTCTTATTTAAGGGAGTAACTCACTTTGAGCTCTTAAGCAAACCCATCCAAGCATTCATAGTTTTAGAAAACAAATCAATAGTTACAATCTTCATGTTGTAAAGTCTAAAGTGAAATACCCTACTAAATCCTTTCTTTTTTTTAACATTTGCCTGTAGTTTTCATACACCAGGGCTTCCACAAAGCCTCCTATGCAGGCTGAGAAATTTTTTACCAAACTGGATAATCTGGAGGATGGTGAACTTTTTCTGGAACTCCTTGGAGAGTTGAGAAAAACTTAATGGCTAAGTGAGAGGTAGATCTTAAAAGTTACTGAGTTCCAGCTTGAGCTTTTTGTCCAGAGTGGTCTAATTCCAAAATAGAAATTAGAGTTAAGGACATGTTTTTGATGATCAATGAAATTAGCTGGATGAGCCTTGTAAATATGCTTGTTTAATAGCTGAGGAATCTGTTTTTGTTCTGAGTAGATGTCTTCTTTTGCTGAGATGATTGTAATTTTCTAGAACTCTACACATATTCTTTTGGGGTTACCCAAAACTTATCCTGTATCTATAATATACATTTTTTTTTTTTTTTGAGACAGACTCACACTATGTTACCCTGGGTAGAATGCCCTGGTGTCACAGCTCACAACAACCTCAAACTCTTGGGTTTAAGCGATTCTCTTGCCTCAGCCTCCCAAGTAGCTGGGACTACAGGGCCTGGCCACAATGCCTGGCCATTTTTTGGTTGTAGTTGTCTTTGTTGTTTGGCAGGCCCAGGCTGGGTTGGAACCCACCAGCTCTGCTGTATGTGGCTGGCACCCTAGCTGCTGAGCTATAGGCGCCATGCCTATAATATACTTTTTAGGTAGTACCTACACTTCGGCTTCCATATGCTTAGAAAATCTTAACTTAACCTGCTGAAAGTTACTACCCATACTAGGCCTGACCCCTTATTTTGTAAACAACATTATGCATTTTTTTATTTGAAAAGTCCAAGGAAGTTGTAGTGAGTTTATGTATCTTGTACCACTCTTTCTAGAATGCAAATGCTAGTTTTGGTACACCACACATTATTTTCTTTATTAAATATAATTGATCAAAATCTGTGATATTTTTATTTTTTCTGATTCAAAATACAAAATAAGCTGATAAACAAAACAGGGAAAACATTGGAATCTAAGATGGTTCTAAGACATTAGTATTTCAGGAGGAGCTTTAATTCAGGCTTCAGCTCAGAAATATGTGAATTAATCAGCCTGATTTGATGTACAGATTGGCTTAGGCATCAGTATTTTTTTTTGAAGTTCTCTAATAATTCTAATTAGAACCAGAGTTTAGAGCTACTGGTTTAGAGATGGACTTCCCTAAGAGCAGATCAACTGACCAGGAGCTTTTCAAAATCATGGAATTAGAATCTCTGAGGGTAATTGTTGAAATAATTTGCTGAAATATTTCTGATATTCTGATTACTGATGAGATATGCTTATTTACTTTCTAGCTTTAGAATCAGTTTCTTTACCTTTGAGATACTATTATTTCAATTTCTACCTTTCTCCCAGCCTTATTTTGGAGTATACACACACAGAAGCACAGAGATTTTTTTTTCCCTTTGTTTTGTAGGATTAAATGCCTTTTCAGGTTCCTCACATTCTTTGTGGAAGAAGATTGAATATAAACAGAGAGAAAGAAATTATCAGTATTTACTTTCCATATTTTCAACCTCAGTCCTATGACATTTTGAACTGGTTAATTCTTTGTGGTGGGCAACAGTCCTATGTACTGTAAAACCTGCAGTAGCAGCCCTAGCCTCTCCCCACTAGATGCCAGTAGCGTGTTCCTAGTTGTAAGAACCATCAATACCACCAAACATGCCAGACATCCTTGAAAGGTAAGGTATGGGAGGAGGGGAGAGTAAGATCCCCAGTTTAAGAATCACTGATTTAGAAGATTGAGTTCCAGTGTTTGGTTAGAAAAATAAGACAAAGCAAAAAGCCTGCGAATAACCAAATACCTATAACCTTTAACATTATTAACCCACATACTTTGCTTCTTCGTAGCAATGTCTCCCTTAATGCCTGTAAAACTGTTCATTTTTCTTCCATGGAAATTTTTGCTTATGTATTGAAACTATGAACTGAAGAATCTTACCAAATGACTCTGAAACATTCTGATTTTTGTGAACAAGAAGTCATGCAGATTTAACCTACCCCGTGCTGGGCATGTTTTGTAACTCTATAATTGTGTCTGTGTTTTTGTAACATTCATATAACCAAGGAAGAGTTTTCTAAACAATGGTAGTTTTCAAAATATTAGGTGGCCAGATGGCTTCAGGATTTCACATCAGGAAAAGCAAAGATAAACACTGTGTCAGTGACAGACCAAAGGCAGCCTCTGGGTGGCAGTGTTTGGTTTTACAAAAATGATGCCTAGAAGCATCATTGAAGCACTTGAAGCATTATGCTTTTCAGAATATGTAGTTTAAGTTCAGTGAAATAAACCATTTCCAAGAGGATGCAGTGTCCACGGAAGATTGTTGTGCTGTCACTGAAAGGCCGGGATGGCTGTATCCCCACAATTTGTCGTAGGCCAGGTTAGCCCTGAAGTAACGTTTGCAGGCCGGCAGCAGGGTGTAATTACCCACACAGAGAGATACAGATACAGGATGTCACATCCCTGCTAATGATCACAACATCTTCTTGCCCAGTAATCTGTAACAAAAAGCCACGTAAATGATCAGGCAGCCCTTGAGTGCGGCACTAAAGAAAAACTTGGTGGCGCAAAAATTATTCCAGCCAATTGAGTGGAAATGACAGAGAATAATACAGAGTTATCTTTGCTAGGGAGATGTGTGTTTGGAATGTCACCAATGGACAGTGCGTGGAGAAGGCCACACTTCCTTACAGACACACTGCGATCTGTGTAAGTATGCTCACTTCCTTCAGAACGTCTCCGAGTCTGCAACTCCACGCCCATTTAAATAAGTATCTTTGAAGAATATCCCTTTCTCCAATCTTTATTTTGGCATGAGGACAGAATATCATCAGTAATCATCTGCTATTTTGGCATTTCTTTTTTCTCCACAGGTATTTATTATTCAACCGGGGTTTTTCCTGATTCTTTCATTTTTGTATCTTTCTAACAGATACGTATGAAAGACAAATCTCATATGTTTCCTTAGTGACGCAAACTACACACACACGCACATACGTGCATGCATACACGTAAAGATTCCATTTTAATGATATGCTATTTGATAAAGCATAAGTTTCCCCCCTCATTCCAATTTCAGCTTATATTTTTGGGGGGTATATTCTTAATTTTTTACTTTTTTACTAAATCATAGCTGTGTACATTAATGCAGTCATGGGGTATAGTGTGTTGGTTCTATATACAATCTGAAATATTTTCATCAAGCTGGTTAACCTAGCCTTCATGTCATTTTCTTGTTATAGTGTCAAAACATTTATATTCTACATTTAGAAAGATTCACATGTACCCTTGTAGGATGAAGCATAGGCGTGGTCCTACCAATCACCCTTCCCTTCAATTTTTGAAATTTTTTTTTTTTTTATGAAAAGAGAGCACGAAGCGTAGCCATGACTTTTATAATCACCTCCCGATGTTTAAAGATCTTGGCTTTTAGTAGATGGCTTCAAGTGTCAGGTAGTTACATGATGCCAATGATGCTGACAGCATCTTTGAAAATCTATTTTATGCCTTGCTTTTAGTCTTGTGACTCAACATTCATAAAGTCCTTTCTATTCTTTGGGGACCAAAGTCCTGCAGAGTAAGAGAGCTCATTAAGGGTAGGATATATTACTGGATCCTTAAGCCGTTTCCAAAACTTACTTGGCACCAGAAATCCTTAAATGCTCTTCAAATGTTTTTATCCCTTCCTAACATGTAGCAATTTTGTTGTTATGGTTTAGTCGTAAGTAGCACACCAGAAGTAATATACTTGTGAGCAGTCCATGGTTTGGAATAAAGTTCCTTCCTCTAAAAGATCTCCCTTTCTCCAGAAAATGGTGAGATACAAATAATACTCAGGAGCGACATCAGCCCTTTATGAGTGCGGAATAACTGAGCGGAGAGGAATTTTAGTTGCTATTCAGTTCAATACCTTAACTAAACGTATGCTAAACTGAAATCTAGAGAAGTCTTTAACGTAGTCAAAATTGCGTTATTGGTGGTGATAGATGTTTGCTTTGAATTCCGTTTACACAGTATTACCACTGCTCATTCCGGATGACGGGAGAAGGTTGGCTTCTCTGTTGTGGAGAATATCAAGATGTCCTTATAATTGATGCCAAAACTTTGGCCGTTGTTCACGCTTTCACATCATCTCAGTCTCCCGATTGGATCAACTGTATGTGTATCGTCCACTCCATGAGAATTCAAGGTAGTAATGGGGTATTGTGTTACGCTAAAAGATTCCATGTAAAAATACCCACTTTTGTATTATTTGTTAAGTTACTGAACAAGAGTCCATGAAAAATGTTTCTTTATACCACTTATATGTACAGCAAATCATCACATTGATACTTTGTGTACAGTCTTTATCAGTTAAATATTTTGAAATAAAAAATAATTTTTCCCTAAAGAAAAAAAAAACCAGTTGGCCTCTTAGCGGGGATAGCTCTGTTTGCCATATCAAGAAAAATTGAGAGCACCCATACCCATGATTCAAGTCATTAGGAAGTCAGTGACAGGTGAGATGAAGTGGGAAGAAGTGGATCTGTGTTTCCATAACCTAGTTCTGCTTGGTTCATTTGAAGAATGACAAACAGGTGTTTATTGTAGATTAGCAGGACTCCTGGAATTTTGTCCTGCTCTAGCTTCTCGATCAGTGGTTCTCAACCTTCCTTATGCCACAGCCCTTTAATACAGTTCCTGTGGGTTGCAAACCACAGGTTGAGAACCGCTGTTCCAGATGTAGTCATGAGGAGAACTTAGTTTTCATGAGTAATTAATTACACAGGAAAATGGAAGCTGGCTCCTCCTTACTCATTTCTGAAATGGATTTACTATTTCCAACATGATAATTTGCAGTGTGGTTCTGCTTTTAGAGATGGTCTTTTTATACAGAGGGATCCTTTTGATCGTTTAAAACAAAATTGGAATGTGATATAAAATATTTGTGATTTTTATTTAAAAAAAAACCCCAAGGTGGAATATTTTCCAGCCATATAGCCCTGCATAGTCCTTACGTGACTAGGAATGACTTCACAACAACCAGTTAGAGCAGTGGCGAGCTTATGTGACCTTCATTCTTTTTACAGAAGATTCTCTCCTGGTGGTATCCGTAGCTGGTGAGCTCAAAGTATGGGATCTCTCCTCATCTATCAACAGCATTCAGGTTGGCTTGGAGACTCTGCTCTTTTTTCTCTAATTTCAAGAATATTTATTGACATTTTAAAATGATAAAGACATTACAGGCTCATTATTAAGAGTTCAAATCAAATACTATAAAAAATACAAACTTTACCTCTGTGTACTTCCCATCCCTATTTTTAGGAATGAGCATTGGGATGGTTGGATTCTATTCTTTACGACCTCTCCTCTGTGCCTATACACGTTTTTAATCTATACACACGTGTGCACACACATACACTGATCACATTTTTAATTTTAAAGAACAATAGCAGAATCTCTCTCTGTCCCCCGTTCCTTACAACAGAAGACCCCCTTTCTTCTGAGGATGTGTGCGGGGTGGTAGGGAGAGGACTGTGAACATTGGGGGGATCACATCACCTGCTCCCTGGCATCAGCCTGCAATTTGAGGTGATAGGCCAAAGAATAGCTGTAGTATCGGTGTTGGTGACAAAACTATTAGGTTCCCCAAGGAGATCTGGGGTCTCTCTAGGAATTTCTTGGTTGAGGAAGCCTAGGATCGTGTTACCATGCTGATCTCAAGGGGAACACACCCGGCGTGATGGGAAACTTAACCGAGAACATAGTATTGTACGTGCTTTGTGTTGGTTATTCTCATCTTTTCAAAGCACTTTCTTCATCTTTTTTTAAGCAATTAGGAGGGGTTTTTTTAGCCATCATTTTATATTTTTGGTTTAACCCACATCTGAAAGTCAGTGATGTCTTCCTATCTTTATATTCTCAGCAGCCAGCATAGCTCCCCCAAGAATGTTTGTTGAATGGTTATATGTAATGAGCCCTTGAATCCAAGTGGATTTTCTGCTTCAGATTCTATTGCCAAGTAACGTCTTAGTTCAAAACACTCAAAAGGAAACGTGGGTAATTTGAATTTTTTAATCATGTGATCCACTTAAGGTATATGGGGAGCTGGTCTTATGCTTGTGTTTAAATTACCTAGAACTAGCATTAAAATATTTTCTTTCCCTTTAAAGGAAAAGCAGGATATCTATGAAAAAGAATCCAAGCTTCTCAAGTCCTTGAACTGCCAGACAATACGATTTTGCACGTACACTGAGAGACTTCTGTTGGTGGTATTTTCTAAATGTTGGAAGGTATTATAAAATAACATGATCAACACTAGTGATGTAAAAATGTAATTTTTTTCCTTGCCCAGGGCAACAATGATAAGAATGTGATCTAAATATGATGCGAACTCTCTGTAATCTTATTACCTGAGGATGGAGGGAGGTATCTTTTATGGCTGATAAATCAGTTATAACTCCCTTTCTTCAGCCATTTTATACCCCAAGATATCATACATGTTGTAGCGTATCCTAATTATATTAATAACAATCATAACATTTATAGCTAAATAACTTTTAAAAATTAGTGTCTGCCGGACTAAATAAAAATCTCATACTGTTTGCTTACCTATCCTGACCTTATTTTTAGATGTTTTTTCTGCTTCACTACTACGTTTGTTTCTAGGTTATGTCCGTTCATTTCTTGGGAATAAATTCACTGACATTTCCAAGAAAAAAAGCTAAGTTGCTATACTTCGATAGCATTCCTTTCTTCTTTAACGGTTAGCAAAAACCGTATCATCTTACTTTATGGCGAAAATATATTTTTGAACACCGATTTAAAGTATATGGTGTGACAAAAGGTTTCTGCTATATCATGTTTTGTGTATAATAAAATTTCACATGATAAACTTTGACTACCCCTATGGAAAGGATGCCATTGTTCAGAAATGTTTGAGGTTTGTGGTTTCTGTGTTTAACAGGTACATTCTGGAATGATACAGCCGGATAAACTTTATCCATTAAAACCTACTGTGCTATAAATGTGAGAAAATAAGGGGTCGTAAAACATTATCTCGATATACGAGTACAGGATGGTCTGCTATTAGCACTTGGCATATCGCTCCATTAGTCCTGTCATCCAAACAGTCTTGACAAACTCAACAGGATTTGTCTTTTATTTCATGGGGAGAGTAGCTTGTGCATCACCTTTGTGTTTTAGGTTTATGATTACTGTGATTTTTCCCTTCTGCTGATGGAAGTCAGTAGACACGGGCAGCTCTTTGCTGGTGGAGAGGTGATTGCTGCCCACAGAATCCTCATCTGGACAGAAGATGGTCACAGTTACATCTATCAGCTGCTGAACAGGTGGGCTCAGATGGGAGCGGCATACAAAACATTCAGGTAGAAAATGAACTTTGGGAGGTTTATTATGGAAAAATCCCCGCATGCTACCCATGATCAAAAACCAGAACAAAACAACTTTGGCACTAGAAGATTTACTCCGGGCTTGGTAGGCTTCAGCCTTTGTACAGAACAGCAGGGGATGAAGGACTGAGATTAGCCATGTATAACTTGTACAGCTGGTGCTGGGTTTTCAAAAAGTCACTTGTAATTATTAACCCAACAATTTCTAACTAGAGTTCAGAAACTTGAATGGTACCATCCGGCTTTTGAAAGTGGGAGGGGGGAAAAAGAAACGCATAAAGAACTCCCAAGTCCTAAACTTTGCTTTTTATTTTTGCCACGCAGTGGGCTTTCAAAGAGTATACACCCTGCTGATGGAGGAGCGCTTAAAGAGACCATTTATCCTCATTTACTGTGCTCTACTTCTGGGCAGGAAAATAAGGTAATGCAAGAAAAGAGGGCCTGCCTCAAAGCTGTTCCACTCCGCTTCTTAGAGAAGTGTCGCTTTGTCTGTCACCGAGTCAGGCTTGAAAAAATTGAATCGAAACTTGGCATCAAGTTGTTAATGAGAAAATCAAGTTTAATTGTTAATAGCTACTGAAGAGAAGACTTTGTCTTCAAAAATCCAGTACTTTTAAGTCTGTCCTTTAAGCTTGTGACTAAATTATAGAAATGTATGGTAGGAAAGTTATAGATGAAAGTATGGAAGAAACAGAGGAGGAATTAAAATTCCTAATTTCACCACAGTCAGTATTCACTGTCAGTGTGTTTTACTTTGTCTTATGTATTTACTAATTTTAATTGGAAAAATTTTCATATATTTGGAAAAGGTGCGAGAATTGTACCAAGTGTACTTCTATCCACTTTATTTAGATTCACCCATTGTGAACGATTCACCCATTGTAGACATTTTGCTACATTTATTTTCTCTCTTCTTGTGTGTACACATATATAATATACACATATATAAACATGTAAACATAAACACATAGGTGCACATCTTTCTCTGACACTTTTTCATAGGTGGTTAACATTTTGATATATCCACTCCAGTTTTTAAACTTTATGAAATAGCTTATATCCTTCTTTTTCATATATTGAAATCATATTCATCTGTATTTCGTTATTCTTATGAATAAATTTTCTTAGTAAGACAAATACGATTATTCCTGATCTAGAAAGTTGAGAATGTAATTGTGAGCTTGTTACTTGACTGAATTCTACTATAAGATCTTTGACACTCTAAGGAAACGTGAAAATTTAAGCGATTGTTTTATTTCAGTAGTTAGCCAAAGTGTTTTCTTTAATAAATCTTTGGCTTTTGCCATGGGTTAATTTTCAAAAAGTGTATCTTATGGAGAGTGGAAGAGTTTTGAATTATTGATTCAAAAATAATCAAGGGAGCATGTTACTTTTTACAGAGTGATGGTTTGCCTATTTAGGGAGCAGAGCTGTTGGAAATCCTATAACATATTTTTAAGGTTCCATGAACATATCTTTACAGTTTTGTTGCAAAAACTTGATTAAGGAGCTATCAGCCAAAAATTAGAAGCCCAAATACCACTGGAGCAGAGGCAAATTTTAGAACTAAGGCTTACATGAAGAGCTGTTTCTAAAATTTATTTGTGTGCAGCTGTGGGGCCTTGCTCTGCTGTTGATAACAAAAGCAGCACAGTACAGTGGCTTACTCAGAAAGGCGTATTTACTTATCTTGTCAAGGATGTGTTCTTTCCTTCCTGTTAGCTTCAGAATGCATTTTGAAAAACAAGATTTGGCCTCAAAGTCAAATATCAATATTGCCCTTTAGAAGCTGCAAGTATCAGTGCTATACATAGTTACGAGGACAAAGTATAACAATAAAAAAATTTAAAAAGTACTAATAGGGCTCGGCGCCTGTGGCTCAAGTGGCTAGGGTGCCAGCCACATACACCTAAGGTGGCGGGTTCGAATCCCCAGCCTGGCCCGCCAAACAACAATGATGGCTGCAACCAAAAAATGGCCAGGTGTTGTGGCGGGTGCCTGTAGTCCCAGCTACTTGGGAGGTTGAGGCAGGAGACTCACTTGAGCCTAGGAGTTGGAGGTTGCTGTGAGCTGTGATGCCATGGCACTCTACCCAGGGGGATAGCTTGAGGCTCTGTCTAAAAAAAAAAAAAAAAGTACTAATAGGAAAATTCCTTGCTTTGCTTCTCAGAATATGAAGACATATGAGTATAGGTCTTTTCTTTTTCCAATAAGGTTTATTTAGACTATATAGTGAAAGTAGGGGGCGGTGCCTGTGGTTCAGAGGAGTAGGGCACTGGCCTCATGTGCCAGAGGTGGTGGGTTCAAACCCAGCCCTGGCCAAAAAAAAAAACTGCAAAAAAAAAATTAAATAAATAAATAAATAAAAATAAAAGTGGGAACTGCCTGGAAATCAGTGAAATATAAAAAGCATAATGTGAAACTGGAAAAAAAAAATCCACTCTTCCCATCTTTGGACCCTTATTGAGGGAATGAAACAAAGACAGACATTTTTGCTCTTTTTCAGACATCACCAGTGTTCACTAAATGTAAGTGCTTAGTCTCTCTTGCAGTTGGGAGATAATGAAGACATCGTGGTAGGGTGTGGAGATGGATTTGATAGATGCAGTGAGGTTAGAAAAAGCGGTCTGTAGCATGTGGTATTGACCGGACTCATTTTTCTGGAGTGATACCATAGAATTGAATCTCAAGGTTAAATGGTGACATGTTCTCAGAGTTACCGTTGGTAATGACCATGAACATAGCTGCTGATGGAGCTGTGAAAATGAGAACGGGGACTCACCCTTCCTTCCAGTAGCTATTTGAGGATCTGCCTGGCCTCAGACCATAGCTGGTAATGGCTGAGGCCTGTGGCAGGTGTTCTGACTTTGGAGCTGAGAACCTGGTCTTCCCAGGGCCCCACCTGAGGAGTAAGGCTGCTGTGCTGAGGTGAGAGTAGCTGAGATAGAAAGCTGGTGGTTGTAAATAAGGAATTTGGGTACGTGAAGTGAGAGCCACGAGGATGATGGTGGTGATGATGATGATGATGGTGATGGTGATGGTGATAGGTAGTTAACTTTCACTGAGTGCTGCTTATTGACAAGCACACACCCTACCTCAGTTGACTTCAGTTGCCACCGAGACCTCATTTTGAAACTGATGGTCAGAGAAGTTAATTCCCTACCTTTGAACCAAAGTGGTTATTTTCGGAAGGAGTTTTGCAGTTGTTCTGGGAAAAGAATAATTCGAATGGTTGCTTCTATTAATTGAATAGGGACAAAATGCCAGGCACCTTATCCTTACCTACTTATCAGTCCACACCACAGTTCCATACAGTCCGTGCTTTTATTAGGCCTCTTTCACAGCCAGGGGGAAATGAGACAGGGAGGTGAGGTAAATTGCCTAAATTAAGTAACTTGCTCTTTTATTAGAGCTAATAATGTGGTGGTGCCAGGATGTGAATTCAGGATTTTATTACTTCCTGGAGGATGGGTACAGGGTACTCTGATGAAAAATCAGAATTCTTATGGTAAGGGGTTATACGAGTTCTTGGGTAAATAGTAGAACAAAAGAGAGAAATATTGGGAAGCCTTGGGGGTGGGTATGGCCAGATGAGGGTTGTCATTGCGGGAGGTGAGGGCAGAGGGATATGATGGCAGCAGGGAACCTCAGCCTCAGACGCAGAGCATGGGGCCGGGGAGACATGTTCCAACAACACCATCTTGACGAACCCACCAGCCTCTCGGAGAACTTTCTTTCTAGATTTAATAACAAGAGTGTTGGAATGATCAGTTCTAAAATTCCTAAAAGTTTGAGAAAGTTGGAGCAGCCAATTTAACCAGATTTAATCAACATCATTTCTAATAGCTACAACAATCATGACTGTGAGATCTAGAAGACCCCAAAGTATCTTCTGAATCTAAAATAAAAAAAAAATGATTTATTTAGATCACTGACTTCCTTGGAACCATTTTCTGTGACGCGCTGATTTTGTAGGACTATAGAAAATTGTGAACATCTTGGTTGTAAGACCTCGGATTTGTTTCTTATTTTCTGTTTCTTAGTTTCCTTATTTCCATGAAGGGATAGTAACAGTATTTACTTATTGCATAGTTTTGTTGTAAGGATTAAGGGTAGCAATATTTTGGCTCTTAATATTCTCAAAAGACACCTTACACAATTTTTTCCACTCATAGATCTAAATCTGGACCTTAAAGCATTCTTTTCTGGATATCTTTTATTTGTGCATTGGAAGGGATTTTTGTAATCACAGTCATTTTGGTCCCTTGTACATAATCTCCATATAGAAGCCAACCTAAAGAACAGTTACACCACCCTGAGATACTAGGGAGATTTGAGATCAGGAGTGTTCAGCTTGTGGCAGGCCTGCAGGCCACGTGCTGATTTTGTGAAGACTTTTTGCTTATCTGCGCTGTCTGGTATCATGAAACATATTCACAGACCTTTTTTCTTTTGCTAATCAGCTTTCATTGTCAGGGTTTGTATATTTACTGTGTGATACAAGATCACTTTTAATGTTTTCAATGTGCAGCAGAGAAAAAAAAAGATTGGACACCCCTGCTCTAGATACATTCACTAGTGAAGGTTGGTCTTTAAGATCACTGGTCCCCAACATTCACACTCTGCTACAGCTGCTAAGTCGTAAATTATGTGTGTATAAAACATATGGTATTGTGTATAATGTGTAATACATATATATGTGCATGTTGTAAATTATGGAGTCATTAATTTTTGCATCTACTTGGGAAATTTGAAATCAATTATGTTAAATCTGGTAAACAGAACATAGAAAGCATTTTAATACGAGTACCACAAAATTGCCATGCCAATTTTAGTTTTTAGTATTTTAACTGGCAGTTAGAACTGAATGGATTGTAAGAAATACATGGACTGTATTATCATCAAGATGTGGGGGGCTCCTGAGTCTGAATTATTGAACTCAAAGCCCATTGTTCTCTCTGTCCCTGTGTCATGCATAAATGTGTACCTAACATGGCCAGTAATGGTACTCTTATTAACCCTCTGAAGTCTAACTGATGACTTTATTTCTTGTTTTATAAAGACTCTTTTTTGCGTTCGATCATAGATTATTTCTCTCAATGTACTTGAGAGTTTTGGAACCATGGGAAATGTGTTGAAAAGATTTTGTGCAATCTAGGTTAGCTCCTCTATTGAAAAGCAATGGCCGTCTCTCTATGACTAGAATAGTTCTTACAGTAGGCTCACTTTTGTTTTGGAGCAGAGCGGTCCCTTCGTTATGGGATACATGAATGAAAGGAAAGAGCCTTTTTATAAGGTACTTTTCTCTGGAGAAGTCTCAGGAAGAATTACTTTGTGGCACATCCCAGATGTTCCGGTATCCAAGTTTGATGGTTCTCCTAGAGGTAAGATAGTTTCCCTTTCCAATCCCATGGCTTCTGAGAACTAATCAGTCATTAACTCAGTGTTTTTCTAACTTACATGGGGCTATGAACAATACAGATTTTCTCTTGTACTGCTACGTATTTAGATGCAAACGTAAAAGTAGGTACAAATGGGAAGCTTATAGATCTTACACAACAATACAATCAATGTAATTCAAATTAATATCAATTAAACAGAACAAGGGACGGATGCTGGCAGTATGGATGTGGAATAGGCTGTTATATGATATTCATATTTTTGAGAGGAGGGTGCCTTGATGTTATTTGTCACAACTATGATGAGTTGATAAACCTGATTTTCTTTTTTTGTGTGTTTTCCATTTAGAAATACCAATAACTACCACCTGGACTCTTCAAGATAATTTCGATAAGCATCAGACAATGTCACAAAGTATTATTGACCATTTCTCTGGGCTTAGAGATGGGGCCGGAACTGCTGTAGTCACTTCATCAGAGTATGTCCCGAGTCTTGATAAACTAATATGTGGCTGTGAAGATGGGACAATTATCATTACACAGGCCTTGAATGCTGTGAAAGCAGGACTTCTAGAAGGCGATTCTTTATTAAAAGGTCATTGAATTTTCTTTGACCCAATTTATTTAATTTAGCCAAGTGGCAATTTTGACAAGCTGCCCTAAAGAAGATTCAGAGGCCCAAAGATTGTACTGGCTTTTGCTGATAAATTTGTACATTTTTTTTTAACATTAAAGTAAAAGAGTATGGTTTATAAAAAGAAAAGAAAACTCAACAGCAGGTTTTACAATGAGAAACAAGTTTCTCTCTTTACTTGATTTTCCAATTACCTTCACCAAAGTCAACTGTTAGTAGTGGTTTCTTTACAGCCTTCTTGAAATTTTCTGTGTATATACAAGCACATAGCAGCATAGCAGTAGGCAGTCTTTTAACTATATTGCACAAATAGAAGCACACTGTACACACTTTACTAAAATGTCCTTAAACAAATTTTTTTTTTTTTTTTTTGCAGTTTTTGGCTGGGGCTGGATTTGAACCCGCCACCTCCGGCATATGGGGCCGGTGCCCTACTCCTTTGAGCCACAGGTGCCGCCCTAACAAATTGTAATAAAATATTTTGGAAATCATTCTTTATGAACTCATTTGAAATGATGAATAATAATTAAATTTTATTTTTGAAATCTCTACTATAATAGGTATGTAATTTTTCTAGTCTTTAGTCACTATGGGCAATGCAGAATTGATGATTTTTATACATACATATGTAGGTAGATGTGGGTACAGCTGTAGTATTAATTCTAAGGAGGAGAATTACTAAATTAACATTTGTGTTTTTAATTTTGAAAATGTATCAAAAGTCTCCTATAAAGAACTTTCATCAATAACATTTCTAATAATAGCTTATGAAAATGCCTTTTCTTTCTTTTTTTTTTTTAAATTAAATCATATGAAAATGCCTTTTCTCCCAAAATTTTGCCCACTTTTTTTTTTTTTTTTTTGAGCCGGAGTTTCACTTAGTTGCCCCAGGCTATAGGGCTGTGGCTTTAGCCTATCTCACAGCAACCTCAAACTGCTGGGCTCAAGCAATCCTCCTGCCCCAGCCTCCACAGTAGCTGGGACTATGGGTGACCACCACACCTCACTAATTTTTCTATTTTTAGAAGAGACAGAGTCTTGCTCTTGCTTAGGCTGGTCTTGAACTCCTGAGCTCCAGCAATTCTCCTGCCTCAGCCTCCCAGAGTACAAAGATTAAAAATGTGAGCCGTTATACTCTGCCTATTGCTATTTTTAAATATTTGACAACCAGGAGATAAACGGTATCTTCCTGTCTTAAGTTTTGTTTCTTTGTTATTGAAGAACCAATAAGTGTATTCTTATACATCTTTGTGCATTACAACAACAAATAAAGACCGTTATGCAGTAAAATTGCCTTGTGTGAGGGAATAGGAGTAATTGGATTTTAGGATTTGTGGAAAAAATTTGTATACCATTTTTAAAAATTATATCAGGGCCATTCATATTAGAAAGTAAGGTCCTTAAGAGTAAAAACTAAAATATCATTTTTAAAAAAAATATCTTCAATTACTATTGTTCTTAGCTGACCTTGGCTACTTAATAATAAGTCACTGGCTTGTGCTTCAGTGAGCAAATGGCAATGAACTGAGGAGAGATGCTGGTGTATAGACAAGTGACCGCTGTTAAAAGTTTGCTAAAATTTGGGTGGTGCCTGTGGCTCAAAGGAGTAGGGCACCGGCCCCCTATGTCGGAGGTGGCAGGTTCAACCCCAGCCCCAGCCAAAAACTGGAAAAAAAAAGTTTGCTAAAACTAAGACATAGCAGTTTTAATCTAGGATGGTTTTTCCTAATATCCACAAAACACACAGGTAAATACATTTGACTTGTAGCATGACAGTTAACATGTCTACAATTTGTTAGGAGATAGTGAGGCTGTGTCTGATTATATTTTAGACATATCTAATGTCTAATAATGATTCTTTGGGATTTAATTTCAGTTTGAATAAAGAGGGTTTGTGGTTTATGGTCCTCTCTGCTTCAGGAGAGTGTAGCTAATAATGAAGGAAGAAGTAGTGTGGTAAGTGGAAAAAGTAACCCACTAAGACAGAAACGTGCCAGGAGTGCTGTATTTTAATACAGCCGCCATTGGAGGTAGCTGTGGGCCTGGCAAGGGCCAAACAGAGTGGTAAGAAACACAGGCATGCTCATGTTTATTCCACATAATAATTGTAGCTGAAGTTATATTATCCCAGATTTTCAGATGCAGCATCTGTGGTTTAAAGGGAAAAGGAAGCTTGTCCATGGTGACACACTTAGTAAGTGATCGACTCAGGGAAACAAAAACAGACCTGTTTTACAGCAAAGCTATCTTCCTGGACATTATCCCTTGCCTTTCCACAGCTGGGTGCTTTACCTCCCTGAACGTCAGGTGCTTTACCTGTAAAGCAATGAGACAGAGCTAGGTCATCTCTAACATTTTCCAAAGCAAAACTATCTATTGAAACTGCTTTCTTGTATATTGGACGTAGTGAGACTAATGTAAAGAACATCAGTGATATTCTGAACTTATTTTGTGAAGGCAAAATGTATGAATTGTTCGTGCTTTTAGAACAGTGTTTATTATTTCACGGCACTGGAATTGCTAACTGACTAATGTCCTTTAGAATTAACAGGCTTTGAGTAACCTACTGTGCTTCCTCAAAAGCATGATCTGTCTTCTGATGAGGCCCTTGCCTTCTGAGATGGGCTAAAGGTCATTCGTTCATTTTCTTAGCCAAGCTCCCATATGCAATTTCTTCACGTTAAATATTTCTAAAAGAAAATCTCAGAACTATTTCCTGAATAACGTTTGTATGATTTGGTATTTGGTTGTTTTACAGATTCCTCCCCCCACAAAGTTCTTAAAGGACATCACCAAAGTGTTACTTCACTACTTTACCCACATGGTCTCTCTTCAAAATTAGACCAAAGTTGGATGGTGTCTGGGGATCAAGACTCGTGTGTTATCTGGTGGGATATCTTTACTGAAGAAATTCTGCATAAATTCTTTTTGGAAGCTGGTCCAGTGACAAGTCTTTTGATGTCACCAGAGAAGTTCAGAGTAAGTTAAGACAAAAATTTAGAAGTTATATAATGTAACTGGAACACAGTGAAATGTGAAAAAATAATCCATAGTCACCCAGGAAAGGAAAAAATAAATTATATGTGCCCATAATACAACTGGAAGATATATCTCTCTACCTATACAGGTGTCCATCAAGTTCATGTGCAATTTAAAATAGTTTAACAAAGTAAATTGCACACGAACTTGATGGACACCCTGTATATTTATCTTTCTATATTTTTATATGAATTATATATATGTGTGTGTGTATATATATATATATTTTTTTTTTTTTGGCTGGGGCCAGGTTTGAACCCACCACCTTTGGTATATGGGGCCGGCACCCTACTTCTTGAGCCACAGGTGCCACCCCGAATTATATTTTTATTATAACATATTTTTGCTCTTCAAGTACTTATACTTTTTTATTTTTTCCCCTAGTTATATATCTTCACTTTTAATAGAGTTCTAAAAAACAAAAGCAATACATACTCAATGCAAAAACGATATAGGAATCTATAAATTAAAAATTAAATTTTGTCTTTAGTTATTTCTGCTTATAATAATATCGATAGTTACATTTCCTTTTCTTAAACAAATTTTTATTTGGTCATTTATTTATTTACTTAACAAATAATGAGTTTAGGAATCTATGAGTATGTACTTTGGCCTCAGAGAAATAAAATAGCTTTAGGTATAATTTTCTCATGAAATATAAACTTCAATTCAGTCTTTGTTCAAATACGAACAACTGATTTTTGAGTTTTCTTCTAAATAAAAGCATATAGTTGTGCACGTAACATGATTTTGTAAATTAGTTTGTCTATTGGCTTGTAGAAATATTTTTCAATAATGTTATTAAACATCAGCTCTAAATTAAACTTGCAGAAAATTTACAGTAAGACATAATGAAAACAATATTTTAGCGACACAGATGATTAAACAAAACATGAAACAAAAGTTTTTTTATTATTTTTTTAAAGCTTCCATTTGGTGATTTGGGTTACCTTGATAAGCCTTTTATTCCTGAGATTTTTCATCCCTTAATTTTTCCAATCATTTTTTTTTTTTCCAGCTCTAGGACAGCAGTCTAAGTCAGTTTCTCTCCTGACCCTGTTTACTCCTGCCAGTCAGAGATGATTTAACTCTGAGGGTCAGGACTCAGTCAACCCAAGTCCAATTAAAAGGGAGTTTGTTGAAAGGGTATAGAGGCAATTTTTCAGCCAGGGCTCAGCAGAGCATGAGTTCTGAAACCAAGGTCCCTCCCTCTAAATAGTGTGTTTTGCTGTGATTACTGCCTTCTCTTGTTTCTTCTTATGAATTCTATTAGCCTCATAATTTTAAAGGCCTAGGATTCTGATTGGCCCATGGTGAGTCACTAGTGCTTGAGTACTCCTGGCCACAAGGGTGTGTCACGTGGGGTGTGTGTATGTAAGTTTCCCCAGGCACTTTGGTCTGCCTGTTGTCAGAGCTGTGGGATGAGCAGGTTCTCCCAGATGTAGGGTGCTTGGGGAGGAATGATGTCTGATCCACACAGGAAATCTGGGCTCCACATCTCTCACTCCTGCCCTTCTGTGATTGTCTACTTAAAAAGAATTGTCACACTTATGGTGCATAATGCAAGGGTACATGACGGATCTATCAGTATAGAATATAAATGTCTTAATTAAGTAAACAAGATGAGGTATATATTAACCTGTGTGATGTAAGCGTTCCTAATTCTATATGAAATCAGCACATTGTACCCCATAAATGCATTAATGTATACATATTCTATGTGTTTATGATTTAATAAAAAACAAAATAAAATAAAATAAAAAAGAATTGGCAGAGAAAACAGGTACCCCATCCCTCCCCTACCCAGAGGTTAATGATTAATATGAAGAGTCTCAAGGGATCTCAGCTTATGCTCTGTCCACAAAAGCTAAACTTCTGGCTAGTTGATTAGCATCTAGCTCGGATGGTCATTGTCCTACACTGTGTTCAAGGTAACCACATGCTGACATTTTAAAAAGCGTCTCAAGGACCGTTTGTCCTGTGAGCTTATTTTTGGGCCTTGTGTCTTTGAGGCTGAACGTTCAGTGGCACTGTCCAGCGCTTCCCGCTTTTAGACTGTGTCTACACTGAGTTTCCTGTTTGGATCACAATCTGTATAGCTGGGAACGGCACCAAATCACATTTGGAGGCTTTAAGTGGAAAATATCAGCTCACGATACCCTTGGGCCTAAGTTGTGTCTACAAATAGCTTCTTTTTGTGATGGCAAATTAGTTCTGGGGTTTATTTTACTCGGCATTATTTCTGAGGTCTGCCTCCCTGCCTGAATTTGCTGAGCGACGGTCAAGTCCTTCATTTATCTGATGAGTAGATCTGCCCTGGAATTCTCCTTTTCACTGGCAACTCTTGACCTTCCTGATAAAGCGTGGAGTTTAAACTTGGTGTTCAAAGCGCCTCTGTAGGGTGTTATGCGGTGAAGATACCCAAGAAAGCAAAAATGTCCTTTAGCAAAGGAGGCTTTAACAAAACTTTTTATGTTCCCGGGGGAAGGAATCTGATTTAATCATAAAGAAAGCATTTGACTATTTCCTTATACAAGCATGTTGTTTTTTTTCTCAGCTAAGGGGCGATCAAATCATTTGCTGTGTGTGCAGTGACCACTCTGTGGCTCTCCTTCACCTTGAGGGGAAGAGGTGTCTCCTGCGGGCCCGGAAGCACCTTTTCCCTGTAAGGATGATAAAATGGCACCCCGTTGAGAATTTTTTAATCGTTGGCTGTGCAGATGACTCTGTCTACATCTGGGAAATTGAAACAGGTAAATTGAAAATTGTACTCCCTTTTGTCCTTTATGTATTTCTGATATTACCAGCAGCTGGCCAGACGGCAAGATTTGGAGAAGACACAGTGACGACCTCGCTTGTTTTAACCTTTGGTTGGGTTGCATTTGCAGGGTGGAAAATAAAACACAATGCCCTAAGTCAGATCCTGCCCAACTGATGATTAGCTGACAGGGCAGTGCGCAGGAATGAGCCGGATATTTCTGGAAGCTATAAATAAAAACATAAGTTATCTACTTTAATTATTAACAAGAGAGAAATTTAGTGTCCTGCTGGTCTCAAATTATCATTAAATTCTGCCTTCTTCAGCATACTCACCATCTCAGCAACATTGTGAGCTAATTGATGATCCGTAATAATGGAATATAATTAATTATAAAACTCCAAGAAGTTGAGTCAGGGAAACTGAAAAACCGAGTGGTCCGATTGAACTTTCCTAGCACAGAGAACGCCCAGTTTGAACTGTGAGATTTTTGAAAAAAGTTTTTATTACACAGCTAAACATTGAGACGAACACATTTCAGAAAATGGTGGGAACACATCAACTAAGGTGAGGTAATTAATGAACGTGAGTCAGGGGAGTTCACTTGAGAGTACATTTCACTGAAACCGTTGCATGATTTTTATTGATTAATCAGTGGTGGTTTTATGTTGGGTGTTATTAACAGACCGGATAGTTTATAATATCATAGTTTAGAGCCATACTTCACCAAAATAATTGCTATTTTCTTTACATTTGACTGTCCCGTGTTAATGACGATGACTAATGCACTGGCATGAGAGCCAGCAACATAATACTAAGTTACATTTGTACCTTTTTTATAGCTTTGATGAGCTTTCCTGTTCATTTTCCCATTAGATTCTCACAACTTCTGGGGTAAGTAGGAGCTGTATTATTCACTGTTGCATTGGTGAGGAACTTGCAGATTGCATACACAAATGCTCAAGATTACCCAGCTAGTAAGTGGTGAACCAGTTGGAGGGTTCTGTGTGTTCTTTGCACAATACGCGCAAAATTCAGAGAGTTTTATGATTCTTAGGTAACTTACTGATCTAAGTGGTAATTTAGTATAATGAATAAAATAGGCTCCAAGACCTGGGCCTGCCTCCGGGGCTTGGGAATCAAGAGCTATATGACCTTGGAGAAATTGGACAAATGACTTGGCCATTTTGCTTTTAAATTCCTCATCTGTGAAATGGGAATGATAATATTTAACTTTGTCCCTGGAGTACAGCCACTAATACCTACTCTGCTCACAAACAGTGCCTGTGGGTGGTAAGCCCTTAGTGATAGTTCAGTAGTATTTTGATTATTAAAAAGTACAGCAAAATCTTGACTTTGATTTGTGAAATCTGAACCTGTAAAACACGTGCACTTATCGACGTGTATAATCGTATTTTCCCTGTGAACACTTGGTAACTGAAAATATTTGTCAGAGCAAGGAGAAACCAACAAGAATGAAGAACTATCTGGACATTCACAAGCAATCACAGTCCCCCGCCCCAGCAGGATACCTTCAGGCCATGCAGCTCTTTATTGATGTCTTTTTAGATGTGTGGGATGTGAAGCAGGAAAGCCAAACCCTATTTATTCCTATTTTTTATTTTTATTTATTTATTATTCTTTTATGAGACGGAGCCTCAAGCTATCCCCCTGGGTAGAGTGCCATGGCATCATGCTCACAGCAACCTCCAACTCCTGGGTTCAAGCGAGTCTCCTGCCTCAGCCTCCCAAGTAGCTGGGACTACAGGTGCCCACCACAACGCCTGGCCATTTTTGGTTGCAGCCATCATTGTTGTTTGGCAGGCCTGGGCTGGGGATTCGAACCCGCCACCTTAGGTGTATGTGGCTGGTATTTTTTTTTTAAGGAATTTTTTATTCTAGTCAACTTAATTACGTCCAATTTCTTTTATAATTTTTTTACGAACCTCATCATGACTTTTATACACCATTTATGACATGTCTTTTTAGTTTTTTATATATATTTTTTATGATTCTTTTTTTTTAATTGTTGGGGATTCATTGAGGGTATAAGAAACCAGGTTTCACTGATTGTATTTGTTAGGTAAAGTCCCTCTTACAATAGTGTCTTGCCCCCAAACGGTGTGGCACCCAGGAAGAGCCCACCTTCCCTCTCTCTGCTCTTCCTTCCTATTTTTTATTTGAATTTTATCTCTTTTTATATCCCCAAACATGGACTCAAGTGTTGCAAAACATGTGAAAAATAAACATAGAGAAAATCAAATAATCCTATCCCACCACCTTAAGATAAGTATTATTAATATTTTGATCTGCTTTCAGATCTCTTTTCACATCAATAAATGGATATCTGTACTGTCTTTCAGTCATGGTAATGGCAGGACACTGAATTCAACCCATATGTGTTAAATTTAAGAGCATTTAATGGAAGGATTATTCATGGGAGTGTGGGTAGGGATTAGAAATGGATGATGAGGTCCCACCAGCCCACCACTCCCAGCACCCAGACACTGCAGGATCAGGAGGCTCTTACCATGGAACAAGAGAAGAAAACAGTGTTATGGGAACCCCATGAGAGCTGAAGCCGACCGAGGAAGCATGGTCATCCCCTGAAGTCATGGATGAGAAATAGCTCCTGCCAGGAATGGGGCACTGAAACAGAGAGAGAGTTGGAAGAAATTCTTTTCTTTCTCCTTCTGCAGTCACCTCCATTACTTTAATCCAACTGGACGTCAGAGGAGAGGGGTGTTCAGTTCTAGGCATGAGCCTCTCTGTGCCCAAAACAGGACACAGACGGGTAGGAAAGGACAGAGTGGGTTGGCATGTGAACAGCAATGAAAAGAGGAGCCCTTATGGACACACCATACTTTAATTTGAGAATCTCCTAACGTTGGTTATTTATATCATTTCCTGTAAAAAGTTCATTTTAGAATTGCCATTAAATAATATGCACGTTTAGTGCCAAAACAACCTATAGAATTTTTTTCCCCCAAATAACCCTGTTGGTTATCTATATTAATAGTTTAAAAACAACCTCAACTCGACCTAAGGTAGAACTTATAATTTGTGCTAATGCTATTAATAAATAATTGTATCAGTTAGATGCAGTAGCTCATGCCTGTAATCCTAGAACTCTGGGAGGCCAAGGCAGGTGGATTGCTTGAGCTCGTGAGTTTGAGACCAGCCTGAGCAAGAGTGAAACCCCATCTCTAAAAATAGCTGGGCGCTGTGGAGGGCACCTATAGTCCCAGGTACTCGGGAGGTTGAGGCAAGAGAATCACTTGAGCCCAAGAGTTTAAGGTTGCTGTAAATGACAGAGTGAAACTCTGTCTCAATAAAATAAAATAAAATAAAATAAAAATTGGCTCAGCGCCCATAGCATAGTGATTAGGGTGCCAGCCACATACACTGAAGTTGGCGGGTTTGAACCCAGCCCAGGCCAGCTAAAACAACAATGACAACTGCAACAAGAAAATAGCTGGGTGCTGTGGTGGGCACCTGTAGTCCCAGTTGCTTGGGAGGCTGAGGCAAGAGAATAGCTTAAGCCTAAGAGTTTGAGGTTGCTGTGAGCTGTGATGCCACAGCACTCTACCGAGGGCAACACAGTGGAACTCTGTCTCAACAACAACAAAAATATATCAGTGCTTTCACATCTGTGCTGTGCTTCTTGTCTTTTTCAAACCATTGCCCCACAGCACCATTGGAGGAAGCAGATGGCCTAATTCTTTGCATTACACTCATTCCTTTTGAGTAAGTTTATGATGTTCCTGTTAGTCTCCTGTCTGATCCTGGCTTGGCTGTGGGTTGTCTTTCATCTCTGCAATTCCAACTTTGCTTAAAATTTAGTGAGCTACTTTTTCTTTTCCAAGATGGAATTCAGCTGTTAAGATGTTTCTATCAGGTTTACTGTACTTGATTTTTATTTGATACCTTTTTTTATAAAGGTGGAAAACTCTGGGGTTAGGAGGCATTTCTGTTTTCATAAAGTTAGGAGGAAAAGAAAATACTAGCTAAAATCAAAACAGTTAGAAGAGAAGAGTTTTATGAGGGTATATAGAATGTGCCTCTTCACTGATGGGCCCTAAATGCAGATAAATGCATGAATGATGTGTGAGTGAATTAATGAGCACACTGACCCAAATGTTCTTGGCCTTAGTAGATTGCGTATAAATGAGCTAACCTTACCATTGGCTAATTGTGCGGTTCTTAGATCATGGCTGCCCAACAGCAGCAGGTGCTCAGCCTTCTGCTCCAAGTCTCTGGTTTGGTTTCTGGAGTTCACAGGCATGAGAACCTCCCCAGGGGCAGGTCTGTGTGTTTTCTACTCCAGTCAGTTTTTCTTGGGCTTTGGCCTTTCAGCTTTGCTTGTAGCTGTTTTCTCTGCAGGGTTCAAACTTAGTTGCATGTGTGAACAGAGCCATCCTTTGTTTCATTTCTCTAGCACTCTGCCTTCTCTAAACACAAGCAGGAGGAATACATTGACACGAAGGTATTTATAAGACCTTCTGGCACTGCACTGACTCTGGGGCCCATAAAGAGAAAATAGAAGGTGTCAGTGAAATAACAATTTCAGGTAAAGGGGTCTAACAAGAATTGGTAGGGGAAGGAGCTTAAAGCCAAAAGTGATTAATTCTCAACCTGCCAAAAGTCTGTCTTGATAGAAGTCTGGGGGGTGTGGGGTACAGGGTCAGTCCCTGTGCTGCCCTCTGTCCTACGGAGGACTATGTGGAGCACTGGATGTGAGGCCTCTGCAGTTTTTCACAAATTAATAGTTTATTCTCAATTGACCTATGAGTGCCTTTGGTAGAATACACAAGCGTATTCTGGAGTCACACACTTCCACGCTGATTGTATTATCTTGAAATGGGAAGGAGGGTTTCTGTGCTCGGTGGCATAGTCAGATGCATTCCAGGGTAAACCTCGGAATCACAACTGGGCGTGCTCACCTCTCAGAAGAGGCAGACAAGTGAAATGGGGAGCTGTTTGTGTAACGCTGAA